TCTCCTATTCCTTGGTTCTTTCGGTAAAGTCACGTCGAAGGGAAACGATAAAATAATAATTTTAAAACACTCGCTTAGATGGGGGAAACAATAAAATAATGATAAAGTATTTTGATTATTATTTTATTGTTTCCCTTCTACACGTGGCCCAGGCTTTGACGGGGGTCACGTGACCCAGGGCTTTGACGGGGGTCACGTGACCCAGGCTTTTGACGGGGGTCACGTGACCCAGGGCTTTGACGGGGGTCACGTGACCCAGGGCTTTGACGGGGGTCACGTGACCCAGGGCTTTGACGGGGGTCACGCGACCCAGGGCTTTGACGGGGGTCACGTGACCCAGGGCTTTGACGGGGGTCACGTGACCCAGGGCTTTGACGGGGGTCACGCGACCCAGGGCTTTGACGGGGGTCACGTGACCCAGGGCTTTGACGGGGGTCACGTGACCCGGGGCTTTTGACGGGGGTCACGTGACCCAGGGCTTTGACGGGGGTCACGTGACCCAGGGCTTTGACAGGGGTCACGTGACCCGGGCTTTGACGGGGGTCACGTGACCCAGGGCTTTGACGGGGGTCACGTGACCCAGGCTTTTGACGGGGGTCACGTGACCCAGGGCTTTGATGGGGGTCACGTGACCCAGGGCTTTGACGGGTCCACCACCCACCCCTGTCCTCCTGCCCTCCCCCAGCCCATGGACGCGTCTGCCCAGTGCGACCCCTCTCCCTCCGAGGGTCCCCAGGGGGGCCTCTCGGCCCCCCCACACCGGCCCGGTGTGGTCGCCACCGCCGGCGTCACCGCCGGCGTCACCGCCGGCGTCACCGCCACAGCCAGCACCACAGCGTTTGGGACAGGTGCGGGGAGGGAGGGAGGGGGGGTGAGGTGAGGTGAGGGAGGTGAGGGGAGGGACTGTCTCCCACTCCGTCCGTCACTCCGCCCATCACCATCACCACCATCATCACCATCATCATCACTATCGCCATCATCACCACCATCATCACCACCATCACCACCATCATCACCATCACCACCATCATCACCATCACCACCACCATCATCACCATCATCACCATCACCACCATCACCACCATCACCATCACCACCATCACCACCATCACCACCATCATCACCATCACCATCATCACCATCACCACCATCACCACCATCACCATCATCACCACCATCATCATCACCATCATCATCATCACCATCATCGCCATCATCACCATCATCACCACCATCACCACCGCCATCATCGCCATCATCACCACCATCACCACCGCCATCATCGCCATCATCACCACCATCACCATCATCACCATCACCACCATCATCACCATCACCACCACCATCATCACCATCATCATCACCATCACCACCATCATCACCATCACCACCATCATCACCATCACCACCATCATCACCACCATCACCATCATCACCACCATCATCACGATCACCATCATCACCACCACCATCATCACCATCACCACCATCATCACCACCATCACCATCATCACCACCATCATCACCATCATCACCATCACCACCATCACCACCACCATCACCATCATCACCATCATCACCACCATGACCATCATCACCACCATGACCATCATCACCACCATCACCATCACCACCATCACCACCATCATCACCATCACCACCACCATCATCACCATCACCACCATCACCATCATCACCACCATCACCACCATCACCACCACCATCATCACCATCACCACCATCACCACCATCACCACCATCACCACCACCATCACCACCATCATCACCATCACCATCATCACCACCATCACCACCATCACCACCACCATCACCATCACCACCATCATCACCATCACCACCATCATCACCACCATCACCATCATCACCACCATCACCATCATCACCACCATCATCACGATCACCATCATCACCACCACCATCATCACCATCACCACCATCATCACCACCATCACCATCATCACCACCATCATCATCATCATCACCATCACCATCATCACCATCACCACCATCACCACCATCATCACCACCATCACCATCATCACCACCATCATCACCATCACCATCATCACCATCGCCATCACCATCATCACCACCATCACCACCATCACCACCATCAACTCTGCCCTCCCGTTCCCCACATCCCCCCCCCCGCCCACCGTCTCCCCGTGCAGGAGTGGTTCAGCTCAAACGCTGTCGTGAGGACCGTGCTGATGCAGCAGCAGCAGCAGCAGCAGCCTCAGCAGCCGCGGCTGCCGATGCAATGGAAGCTTCATCGGCGGCATCGTCATCGGCGCCATCGGCGATGGGCACGGCTGGCGGCGGCGGCGGCGATGGCGCCGGGAGGGCCGACGTCGAGGGAGGGGAGCCCAAGAGGAAGCGTCCTTGCATTGCTACCCTACAGGTGTGTGTGTGTGTGTCTGTGTACGTGTTTATGTGTGACTGTGTGTGTGTGTGTACGTGTTTGTGTGTGTGTGTGTGACTGTGTGTGTGTCTGTGTGTGACTGTGTGTGTGTACGTGTTTGTGTGTGTGTGTACGTGTTTGTGTGTGTGTGTGTGACTGTGTGTGTGACTGTGTGTGTGTCTGTGTGTGACTGTGTGTGTGTACGTGTTTGTGTGTGTGTGTACGTGTTTGTGTGTGTACGTGTTTGTTTGTGTGACTGTGTGTGTACATGTTTGTGTGTGTGCGTGTGTGTCTGTGTGACTGTGTGTGTGTCTGTTTGTGTGTGTACGTGTCTGTGTGTGTACGTGTTTGTGTGTGTACGTGTGTACGTGTTTGTGTGTGTGTGTGTACGTGTTTGTGTGTGTGTGTACTTGTGTGTGTGTGTACGTGTTTGTGTGTGTACGTGTTTGTGTGTGTGTGTGAATGTGTGTGTGTACGTGTTTGTGTGTGTGTACGTGTTTGTGTGTGTGTGTGTGTACGTGTTTGTGTGTGTGTGTGTGTACGTGTTTGTGTGTACGTGTTTGTGTGTTTGTGTGTGTACGTGTTTGTGTGTGTACGTGTTTGTGTGTGTGTGTACGTGTTTGTGTGTACGTGTTTGTGTGTACGTGTTTGTGTGTGTGTGTGTGTTTGTGTGTGTGTTTGTTTGTGTGTGTACGTGTTTGTGTGTGTGTGTGTTTGTGTGTGTGTGTCTGTGTGTGTGTGTGTCTGTGTGTGTCTGTGTGACTGTGTGTGTGTGTGTGTCTGTTTGTGTGTGTACGTGTCTGTGTGTGTGTGTTTGTGTGTGTGTGTGTACGTGTTTGTGTGTGTACGTGTGTACGTGTTTGTGTGTGTGTTTGTTTGTGTGTGTGTGTACGTGTTTGTGTGTGTGTGTACGGGTTTGTGTGTGTGTGTACGTGTTTGTGTGTGTACGTGTTTGTGTGTGTGTGTGAATGTGTGTGTGTGTGTACGTGTTGGTGTGTGTGTACGTGTTTGTGTGTGTGTGTGTACGTGTTTGTGTGTGTGTGTGTACGTGTTTGTGTGTGTGTACGTGTTTGTGTGTGTGTGTGTGTACGTGTTTGTGTGTGTGTGTGTGTGTACGTGTTTGTGTGTGTGTGTGTGTGTACGTGTTTGTGTGTTTGTGTGTGTACGTGTTTGTGTGTTTGTGTGTGTACGTGTTTGTGTGTTTGTGTGTGTACGTGTTTGTGTGTGTGTGTTTGTGTGTGTGTTTGTGTGTGTGTGTGTTTGTGTGTGTGTGTGTTTGTGTGTGTGTGTGTTTGTGTGTGTGTGTGTGTACGTGTGTGTGTTTGTGTGTGTGTGTGTACGTGTTTGTGTGTGTGTGTACGTGTTTGTGTACGTGTGTACGTGTTTGTGTACTTGTGTACGTGTGTACGTGTTTGTGTACGTGTGTACGTGTTTGTGTGTGTGTGTGTACGTGTTTGTGTGTGTGTGTACGTGTTTGTGTACGTGTGTGTGTGTACGTGTTTGTGTACGTGTGTGTGTGTACGTGTTTGTGTACGTGTGTACGTGTGTGTGTGTACGTGTTTGTGTACGTGTGTACGTGTGTGTGTGTACGTGTTTGTGTGTGTACGTGTTTGTGTGTGTGTACGTGTTTGTGTGTGTGTGTACGTGTGTGTGTGTGTACGTGTGTGTACGTGTGTGTGTACGTGTTTGTGTGTGTGTACGTGTGTGTGTGTGTGTACGTGTTTGTGTACGTGTTTGTGTGTGTGTTTGTGTGTGTGTACGTGTTTGTGTGTGTGTGTACGTGTTTTTGTGTGTGTGTACGTGTTTGTGTGTGTGTGTACGTGTTTGTGTACGTATGTACGTGTTTGTGTACGTGTGTACGTGTTTGTGTGTGTGTTTGTGTTTGTGTGTGTACGTGTGTGTGTGTACGTATTTGTGAGTGTGTGTGTGTCTGTGTGTGTGTACGTGTTTGTGTCTGTGTGTACGTGCGTGTGTCTGTGTGTGTACGTGCGTGTGTCTGTGTGTACGTGTGTGTGTGTGTTTTTGTGTGTGTCTGTGTGTGTGTACGTGTGTGTGTGTGTGTTTTTGTGTGTGTCTGTGTGTGTGTCTGTGTGTGTGTATCTGTGTGTGTGTGTCTGTGTGTGTGTGTCTGTGTGTGTGTGTCTGTGTGTGTGTGTCTGTGTGTGTCTGTGTGGGTTTGTGTGTGTGTGTCTGTGTGTGTGTGTCTGTGTGTGACTGTGTGTCTGTGTGTGTGTTGTGTGGGGAGCGATAGTGTAGCGGTTAGCGCTACGCTGCGCTATGAACCTGGCGACCCGGGTTCGATTCCCGGTCACGGCCAACACCAGTGACGATTATCTGAACCAGTCCCGGGCCTCCCCTAGGTCGACTCGGCCTCAAATGAGTACCTGGTGCAGTGTGTAAACATCGCCACTAGGGAGACAAAGGCGGTCGGGCGTGGTGCTGGCCACCCACCCCCTCGTGTACCGTTCCGGCCTTCATAGGCAGTGCTGCTACTCGCTACTAACAGCACTTGCCCCTACAGCCCTGCTAGAGGCTACCTGGGGGAGCTTTGTCTGTGTGTGGTGAGTGTAGTACATAGACACTGCTGCTGCTACTCGCTACTAACAGCACTTGCCTCTACAGCCCTGCTAGAGGCTACCTGGGGTAGCTTTGTGTGTGGTGTGTGTAGTACATAGACACTGCTGCTGCTACTCGCTACTAACAGCACTTGCCCCTACAGCCCTGCTAGAGGCTACCTGGGGGAGCTTTGTCTGTGTGTGTGGTGTGTGTAGTACATAGACACTGCTGCTGCTACTCGCTACTAACAGCACTTGCCTCCACAGCCCTGCTAGAGGCTACCTGGGGTAGCTTTGTGTGTGGTGTGTGTAGTACATAGACACTGCTGCTGCTACTCGCTACTAACAGCACTTGCCCCTACAGCCCTGTTAGAGGCTACCTGGGGTAGCTTTGTCTGTGTGTGGTGTGAGTGTAGTACATAGACACTTGCCCCAGCAGCCTGACGGAGGCTACACGGGGGACCTTTGTCTGTGCGTGTGTGCGTCAGGAGGGAGTGGTTCCTGAGGAGAGCCGTGGAGACCCCCAGCAGGAGAGTGTGGGGCTACACACGGACCCTCACGCACAGGTGTGTGTCTGTGTGTGTGTGTGTCTCTGTGTGTGTCTGTGTGTGTGTCTCTATGTGTGTCTGTGTGTGTCTGTGTGTGTGTGTCTCTGTGTGTGTGTGTCTCTGTGTGTGTCTCTGTGTGTGTGTGTGTCTCTGTGTGTGTGTCTCTGTCTGTGTGTCTCTGTGTGTGTGTCTCTGTGTGTGTGTCTCTGTGTGTGTCTCTGTGTGTGTGTGTCTGTGTGTGTGTCTATGTCTGTGTGTGTGTCTATGTCTGTGTGTGTGTGTGTGTCTGTCTGTGTCTATGTCTGTGTGTGTGTGTCTCTGTGTGTGTGTGTGTCTCTGTGTGTGTGCGTGTCTCCGTGTGTGTGTGTGTCTCTGTGTGTGTGTCTCTGTGTGTGTCTGTCTGTGTCTATGTCTGTGTGTGTGTGTCTCTGTGTGTGTGTGTGTCTCTGTGTGTGTGTGTGTCTCTGTGTGTGTGCGTGTCTCCGTGTGTGTGTGTGTCTCTGTGTGTGTGTCTCTGTGTGTGTATGTGTGTGCGTGTCTCCGTCTGTGTGTGTCTCTGTGTGTGTGTGTCTCTGTGTGTGTGTGTGTCTCTGTGTGTGTGTCACTGTGTCTGTCTCTGTGTCTCTGTGTGTGTCTGTGTGTATCCGTGTGTCTGTGTCTGTCTGTGTGTCTCCGTGTGTCTGTGTCTATGTCTGTGTGATGTCCGTGTGTCTGTCTGTGTGTCTCCGTGTATGTGTGTGTGTCTTTCTGTGTGTCTGTGTCTTATTGTGCTGCTGCTGATGATGCTGCTGCTGCTGATGATGCTGCTGCTGATGATGATGCCGATGACGACGGTTCTGTCGCTGCTGCCGACAGGAAGCGCCGTCGCCGCACGACACGGACGTCCCAACGAGCGGCGCCTCCCTCACCAGCGCCTCCCTCACCAGTGCCGCCCTCACCAGTGCCGCCCTCACCAGTGCCGCCCTCACCAGCGCCACCGCCCTCACCAGCGCCACCGCCACGGTGGCGGAGGTGATCGTGATCGACAGCGAGGAGGAGGACGAGGACGAGGAGGAGGAGGAGGAGGAAGAGGAAGAAGAGGAGGAGGAAGATGAGGACGAGGAGGAGGAGGAGGAGGAAGAGGAGGAGGAGGATGAGGAGGGAGGAGATGAGGTGAGTGAGAGATGTGCGAGATCTGATGTGGCCGCCGTGAACCCCACCCACCCACACGGCCACCGTGAACCCCACCCACCCACCCACACGGACATCGTGAACCCCACCCACCCACCCACACGGCCACAGTGAACCCCACCCACCCACCCACACGGACATCGTGAACCCCACCCACCCACACGGTCACCGTGAACCCCACCCACCCACACGGCCATCGTGAACCCCACCCACCCACCCACACGGTCACCGTGAACCCCACCCACCCACACGGACATCGTGAACCCCACCCACCCACACGGCCACCGTGAACCCCACCCACCCACACGGTCATCGTGAACCCCACCCACCCACACGGTCATCGTGAACCCCACCCACCCACACGGCCACAGTGAACCCCACCCACCCACCCACACGTCCGTCGTGAACCCCACCCACCCACCCACACGTCCGTCGTGAACCCCACCCACCCACACGGTCACCGTGAACCCCACCCACCCACACGGCCACCGTGAACCCCACCCACCCACACGGCCACCGTGAACCCCACCCACCCACACGGCCACCGTGAACCCCACCCACCCACCCACACGGCCATCGTGAACCCCACCCACCCACACGGCCACCGTGAACCCCACCCACCCACACGGTCACCGTGAACCCCACCCACCCACACGGCCACCGTGAACCCCACCCACCCACACGGCCACCGTGAACCCCACCCACCCACACGGTCACCGTGAACCCCACCCACCCACCCACACGGCCATCGTGAACCCCACCCACCCACACGGCCACCGTGAACCCCACCCACCCACACGGTCACCGTGAACCCCACCCACCCACCCACACGGTCACCGTGAACCCCACCCACATTTGATGATGCGAATGATGTTAATTCTGGTGATGGTGACGATGGTGTTTCTGAGAATGATGGTGATGATGGTAATTCTGACGGTGATGATGGTGGTGGTGTTTGTGATGTTGAGGTGGAGGGAGAGGACGAAGAGGAGGAGGAGGAAGAGGACGAGGAGGAGGATGAAGACCTCGTGGGGCAGGGAGGGTACGAGGCTGGGGATGCACAGGTAACCCGTGGTGGTGGTGGTGGTGATGGTGGTGGTGGTGGTGACGGTGGTGGTGGTGGTGACGGTGATGGTGACGGTGATGGTGACGGTGGTGGTGACGGTGGTGGTGACGGTGGTGGTGGTGATGATGGTGGTGATGGTGGTGACGGTGGTGGTGACGATGGTGGTGGTGACTGTGGTGGTGACTGTGGTGGTGACGGTGGTGGTGACGGTGGTGACGGTGATGACGGTGGTGGTGACTGTGGTGGTGACTGTGGTGGTGACGGTGGTGGTGACGGTGGTGACGGTGATGACTGTGGCGATGACGGTGGTGGTGGCGGTGGCGACTGTGACGGTGGTGGTGACGGTGGTGGTGGTGGTGACGGTGGTGGTGACAGTGGTGGTGACGGTGGTGGTGGTGACGGTGGTGGTGGTGGTGACGGTGGTGGTGGTGGTGACGGTGGTGGTGGTGACGGTGGTGGTGACAGTGGTGGTGACGGTGGTGACGGTGGTGGTGGTGACGGTGGTGGTGGTGACGGTGGTGGTGACGGTGGTGGTGGTGACGGTGGTGGTGGTGACGGTGGTGGTGGTGACGGTGGTGGTGGTGATGGTGGTGGTGGTGGTGACGGTGGTGGTGACGGTGGTGGTGACGGTGGTGGTGACGGTGGTGGTGACGGTGGTGGTGACGGTGGTGACGGTGGTGGTGACGGTGGTGGTGGTGACTGTGGCGATGACGGTGGCGGTGGCGGTGGCGACTGTGGCGATGGTGGTGACGGTGACGGTGGTAGTGACGGCGGTGGCGTTGACGCTGGTGGTGGCGGTGACGCTGGTGGTGGTGGTGGCGGTGGTGGTGATGGTGGTGGTGACGGTGGTGACGGTGGTGGTGACGGTGGTGGTGACGGTGGTGGTGACGGTGGTGGTGACGGTGGTGATGGTGGTGGTGTTTAGCGCTACGCTGTACTATGAACCCAGCGATCCGAGTTCGATTCCCGCTCACGGCCAAAACCGCCAGTGACGATTATCTGAACCGTTCCCGGGCCTCCCCTAGGTCGACTCGGCCTTAAATGAGAACCTGGTGTAGCTGTGGTGTGTAGTAAACATCGCTAGCACTGGGGAGACAAAGGTGGTCGGGCGTGGTGCTGGCCACCCACCCCCTCGTGTGCCGTGCCGGCCTTCATACAGTGAGGGAAAAAAAGTATTTCATCCCCTGCTGATTTTGTACGTTCGTCCACTGACAAAGAAATGATCAGTCTTTAATTTTAATGGTAGGTTTATTTGAACAGTGAGAGACAGAATAACAACAACAAAATCCAGAAAAAAGCATGTCAAAAATGTTATAAATCGATTTGCTTTTTAAGTAGGGAAATAAGTATTTGACCCCTCTGCAGAACGTGACTTAGTACTTGGTGGCAAAACCCTTGTTCGCAATCACAGAGGTCAGACGTTTCTTGTAGTTGGCCACCAGGTTTGCACACATCTCAGGAGGGATTTTGTCCCACTCCTCTTTGCAGATCTTCTCCAAGTCATTAAGGTTTCGAGGCTGACGTTTGGCAACTCGAACCTTCAGCTCCCTCCACAGATTTTCTATGGGATTAAGGTCTGGAGACTGGCTAGGCCACTCCAGGACCTTAATGTGCTTCTTCTTGAGCTACTCCTTTGTTGCCTTGGCCGTGTGTTTTGGGTCATTGTCATGCTGGAATACCCATCCACGACCCATTTTCAGTGCCCTGGCCGAGGGAAGGAGGTTCTCACCCAAGATTTGACGGTACATGGCCCCGTCCATCGTCCCTTTGATGCGGTGAAGTTGTCCTGTCCCCTTAGCAGAAAAACACCCCCAAAGCATAATGTTTCCACCTCCATGTTTGACGGTGGGGGTGGTGTTCTTGGGGTCATAGGCAGCATTCCTCCTCCTCCAAATACGGCGAGTTGAGTTGATGCCAAAGAGCTCTCTCTCCCCGCGTCTCTCTCATCTGACCACAACACTTTTACCCAGTTGTCCTCTGAATCATTCAGATGTTCATTGGCAAACTTCTGACGGGCATGTATATGTGCTTTTTTTGAAAAGGGGGACCTTGCGTATGCTGCAGGATTTCAGTCCTTCACGGCGTAGTGTGTTATCAATTGTTTTCTTGGTGACTATGGTCCCAGCTGCCTTGAGATCATTGACAAGATCCTCCCGTGTAGTTCTGGGCTGATTCCTCACCGTTCTCATGATCATTGCAACTCCACGAGGTGAGATCTTGCATAGAGCCCCAGGCCGAGGGAGATTGACAGTTCTGTTGTGTTTCTTCCATTTGCGAATAATCGCACCAACTGTTGTCACCGTCTCACCAAGCTGCTTGGCAATGGTCTTGTAGCCCATTCCAGCCTTGTGTAGGTCTACAATCTTGTCCCTGACATCCTTGGAGAGCTCTTTGGTCTTGGCCATGGTGGAGAGTTTGGAATCTGATTGATTGCTTCTGTGGACAGGTGTCTTTTATACAGGTAACAAGCTGAGATTAGGAGCACTCACTTTAAGAGTGTACTCCTAATCTCAGCTCGTTACCTGTATAAAAGACACCTGGGAGCCAGGAATCTTTCTGATTGAGAGGGGGTCAAATGCTTATTTCCCTCATTAAAATGCAAATCAATTTATAACATTTTTGACATGCGTTTTTCTGGATTTTGTTGTTGTTATTCTGTCTCTCACTGTTCAAATAAACCTACCATTAAAATCAGTGGGCAAATGTACAAAATCAGCAGGGGATCAAATACTTTTTTCCCTCACTGTAGGTGCTGCTCACTAACAGCACTTGCCCCTACAGTCTGTTTAGGTTACATGAGGGATCTTTGTCTTTGGTGGTGATGGTGATGATCCTGGATATGGTGGTGGTGATGATGGTGGTGGTGGTGATGATGGTGGTGGTGATGATGAATGGTGGTGATGGTGATGATGATGATGTTGGTGATTGTGATGGTGGTGACGACGATGGTGGTGATGGTGATGATGCTGGATATAGTGATGGTGGTGATGGTGGTGATGGTGGTGATGGTGGTGATGGTGGTGACGGTGGTGATGGTGGTGACGGTGGTGGTGATGGTGACGGTGGTGACGGTGGTGACGACGATGGTGGTGATGGTGGTGATTGTGATGGTGGTGATTGTGATGATGGTGGTGATGGTGGTGACGGTGATGGTGGTGACGGTGATGGTGGTGACGGTGATGGTGGTGACGGTGATGGTGGTGACGGTGATGGTGGTGACGGTGATGGTGGTGACGGTGATGGTGGTGACGGTGATGGTGGTGATGATGACGCCCGCAGGTACGTGATGACGGAGTTGACGAGGAGGAGGAGGAGGATGATGGGGATGATGGTGATGATGATGATGGGGATGATGGCGGTGATGACGATGGTGACGACGCCATCCAGGACGATCCGACGTCTGGCGATGCGATGGAAGGTGCCGACATCATCACCAACATCAGCACCATCAACATCATCACCAGCATCAACATCACCAGCATCACCATCAACATCACCAACTTAACCATCAATATCATCAACATCACCATCAATATCATCAACATCACCATCGATATCATCAACATCACCATCAATATCATCAACATCACCATCAATATCATCAATATCATCAACATCACCATCAACATCACCATCAATATCATCAACATCACCATCAATATCATCAACATCACCATCAATATCAACATCACCATCAGTATCACCAACATCACCATCAACATCATCACTAGCATCACCATTAACATCACCAACTTAACCATCAATATCATCAACATCACCATCAATATCATCAACATCACCATCATCAACATCACCATCAATATCATCAACATCACCATCATCAACATCACCATCAATATCATCAACATCACCATCAATATAATCAACATCACCATCAATATCACCAGCATCACCAACATCACCATCAATATCATCACCATCATCACCATCAACATCATCACCAGGATCACCATCAACATCATCACCAGGATCACCAACATCACCATTAACATCGCCATCATCACCATCAATATCATCAACATGACCATCATCATCAACATCATCATTAACATCACCATCAGTATCATCATCAACATCATCATCATCAATATCATCAACATCATCATCAATATCATCAACATCATCATCAATATCATCAACATGACCATCAATATCATCAACATCACCACCATCATCAACATCACCACCATCATCAACATCACCATCAATATCATCAACATCACCATCATCACCATCAATATCATCAACATCATCAATATCATCAACATCACCATCATCACCATCAATATCATCAACATCACCATCAATATCAATTTCACCACCATCAACATCAGCACCATCAACATCAGCACCATCAATATCACCAACATCATCACCAACTTCACCATCAATATCATCAACATCACCATCAATATCATCAACATCACCATCATCACCATCAATATCAACATCACCATCAATATCATCAACATCACCATCATCATCAATATCACCATCAATATCAACATCACCATCATCACCATCAATATCACCAGCATCACCAACATCACCATCAATATCATCAACATCATCACCATCATCACCATCAACATCATCACCAGGATCACTATCAACATCATCACCAGGATCACCAGCATCACCATTAACATCGCCATCATCACCATCAATATCATCAACATCATCAACATCATCATCAATATCATCAAGATCACCATCAATATCATCAACATGACCATCAATATCATCAACATCACCACCATCATCAACATCACCATCAATATCATCAACATCATCACCATCATCACCATCAACATCATCACCAGGATCACTATCAACATCATCACCAGGATCACCAGCATCACCATTAACATCGCCATCATCACCATCAATATCATCAACATCATCAACATCATCATCAATATCATCAAGATCACCATCAATATCATCAACATGACCATCAATATCATCAACATCACCACCATCATCAACATCACCATCAATATCATCAACATCACCATCAATATCATCAACATCACCATCAATATCAATTTCACCACCATTAACATCACCACCATCATCAACATCACCATCAATATCATCAACATTGACATCATTATCAACATCATCAATATCACCATCAATATCAACATTGACATTATCAACATCACCACCACCATCAACATGGCCATCATCAGCACCATCAACATCACCACCATCAACATCACAAACCAACATCCATATCACCATGATCTGATTCCCCATGTCTCCCCCCCCCCCCCCCCCCCACCCCCCCGTCTCTCTCCCCGTGTCTCTCTCCCCGTGTCTCTCTCCCCGCGTCTCTCTCTCTCCCCGTGTCTCTCTCCCTGTGTCTCTCCACCCGCATCTCTCCCCCCCGCGTCTCTCTCCCCTTGTCTCTCTCTCCGTGTCTCTCCCCCCGTGTCTCTCCCCCCGCGTCTCTCTCCCTGCGTCTCTCCCCCCACGTCTCTCTCCCCGTGTCTCTCTCCCCATGTCTCTCTCCCCGCGTCTCTCTCCCCGCGTCTCTCTCCCCGTGTCTCTCTCCCCGCGTCTCTCTCCCGGTGTCTCTCTCCCCCCGTCTCTCTCCCCCCGTCTCTCTCCCCCCGTCTCTCTCCCCCCGTCTCTCTCCCCGCGTCTCTCTCCCCGTGTCTCTCTCTGCGTGTCTCTCTCCCCCTGTCTCTCTCCCCCTGTCTCTCTCCCCGTGTCTCTCCCCCCGTGTCTCTCTCCCCCCGTGTCTCTCTCCCCGCGTCTCTCTCCCGGTGTCTCTCTCCCCCCGTCTCTCTCCCCCCGTCTCTCTCCCGGTGTCTCTCTCCCCCCGTCTCTCTCCCCCCGTCTCTCTCCCCGTGTCTCTCTCCCCCCGTCTCTCTCCCCGTGTCTCTCCCCCCGTGTCTCTCTCCCCCCGTGTCTCTCCCCCCGTGTCTCTCTCCCCGTGTCTCTCTCCCCGCGTCTCTCTCCCCGTGTCTCTCTCCCCGCGTCTCTCTCCCGGTGTCTCTCTCCCCCCCGTCTCTCTCCCCGCGTCTCTCTCCCCCCGTCTCTCTCCCCCCGTCTCTCTCCCCGTGTCTCTCTCCCCCCGTCTCTCCCCCCGTGTCTCTCCCCCCGTGTCTCTCTCCCCCCGTGTCTCTCCCCCCGCGTCTCTCTCCCCCGTCTCTCTCCCCCCGTCTCTCTCCCCCCGTCTCTCTCCCCCCGTGTCTCTCTCCCCGTGTCTCTCTCCCCGCGTCTCTCTCCCCGTGTCTCTCCCCCCGTGTGCAGAGCTGGTGGATGAGGAAGAAGAAGCTATGGACGATGTTGGAGCGGAAAGTGAAACGTCACAATCCCAGGTGAAGTATCTCACAAAGCTACCCCAGGTAGCCTCTAGCAGGGCTGTAGGGGCAAGTGCTGTCAGTAGCGAGTAGCAGCAGCAGTGTCTATGTACTACACACACCACACACAGACAAAGCTACCCCAGGTAGCCTCTAGCAGGGCTGTTGGGGCAAGTGCTGCTAGTAGCGAGTAACAGCAGCAGTGTCTATGTACTACACACACCACACACAGACAAAGCTCCTCCAGGTAGCCTCTAGCAGGGCTGTAGGGGCAAGTGCTGTCAGAAGCGAGTAGCAGCAGCAGTGTCTACGAAGGCCGGCACTGGGGTTGGTGGCCAGCCGCCTTTGTCTCCCCAGTGGCGACGTTTACGAGGACACAGAGCACCGGGTAACTCATGAGAGGCAGAGTCGACCTAGGGGAGGCCCAGGACCCGTTGAGATGATCGGGTCGCCGGGTTCGTAGCGCAGCGTAGCGCTAACCACTACACTACCCCCTCCCCACACACACACACACTCACTCACTCGCCCACACACTCACCCACCCACTTACACACCCACTCACTCACCCACTCACCCACTTTACCCACCCACCCACTTACCCACCCACTCACCCACCCACCCATTCACCCACTCACTTACCCACTCACCCATCCATCCACTCACCCACTCACTCACCCACTCACCCACCCACTCACCCAATCACCCACTCACTCAATCACTCACCCACCCATCCACTCACTCACCCACCCATCCACTCACTCACCCACCCATCCACTCACTCACCCACCCATCCACTCACTCACCCACTCACCCACCCACTCACTTACTCACCCACCCACTCACCCACCCACTCACCCACTCACCCACTCACTTACCCACCCACCCCCTCACCCACCCACTCACTCATCCACTCACTCACCCACCCACTCACCCACTCACTCACTCACTCATCCACTCACTCACCCATCCACTCACTCACCCACCCACTCACCCACCCACTCACCCACCCACCCACCCACCCCCCCACCCACCCACCCCCCCACCCACCCCCCCACCCACCCACCCCCTCACTCACCCACCCACTCACCCACTCACCCTCTCACCCACCCACCCACTCACTCACCCACCCACTCACCCACCCACTCACCCACCCACTCACTCACCCACTCACCCTCTCACTCACTCACTCACCCACTCACTCACCCACCCATCCACTCACTCACCCACCCACCCACTCACCCACTCACCCACCCACTCACCCACCCACTCACTCACTCATCCACTCACTCACCCACCCACCCACTCACTCACCCACTCACCCTCTCACTCACCCACCCACTCACCCACTCACCCTCTCACCCACCCACCCTCTCACTTACCCACTCACTCACTCACCCACCCACTCACTCACCCACCCACCCACTCACCCACCCACTCACCCACCCACCCACTCACCCACCCACTCACTCACCCACCCACCCACCCACTCACCCACCCACCCCCCCACCCACCCACCCACCAGGACCTGGCTCTCTCCAGCGCTCCCGCTGATGACGCCTCCTCCGACGCCCCCCTCGAGGGCTCCCTCGGGACGGCCCCTGGGGCGGCCCCTGGGGCAGCCTCTGGGGCAGCCTCTGGGGCAGCCCCTGGGGCGGCCCCTGGGGCAGCCTCTGGGGCAGCCTCTGGGGCAGCCCCTGGGGCAGCCTCTGGGGCGGCCTCTGGGGCGGCCTCTGGGGCGGCCTCTGGGGCAGCCCCTGGGGCGGCCTCTGGGGCAGCCTCTGGGGCAGCCTCTGGGGCGGCCTCTGGGGCAGCCTCTGGGGCAGCGCTGCCCCAGCCTCGGCGGCCCTGCCCCGTGCTGCCCCCACGCCTCACCATCTACCCCCCACCACTGGAGCAGCAGCAGCAGCAGCAGCACCAGCAGCTCGCACCTCCTGCTCACAGCAACACCGCCACTCAGGTGGGCCGGGGTGGTGGTGGGCAGTGGTGGTGGTGGGCAGTGGTGGTGGTGGTGGGCAGTGGTGGTGGTGGTGGGAAGGGGCAGCGTGGTGGGGGGAAGGGGCAGTGTGGTGGGGGGAAGGGGGCAGCATGGTGGGGGGAAGGGGCAGCGTGGGTGGGGAGAGGGCAGCTGAGGTCACGGTGATGAGGGTGGGAGGGGGAGATGCGGCGTCGCTCACACCCTGTGTGTCTGTGTGTGTGTCTGTGTGTGTGTGTCTGTGTGTGTGTGTCTGTCTCTTTGTGTCTGTGTGTGTGTGTCTGTCTGTGTGTCTGTGTGTGTGTGTGTCTGTGTGTCTGTGTGTGTGTGTGTCTGTGTGTGTGTGTGTCTGTCTGTCTGGCGTCTGTGTGTGTGTGTGTCTCTGTGTGTCTGTGTGTGTGTGTCTGTGTGTGTGTCTGTGTGTGTCCGTGTGTCTGGCGTCTGTGTGTCTTTGTCCCTGTGTGCGTGTGTCTGTGTGTCTTTGTGTCCGTGTGTCTTTGTGTGTCTGTGTGCGTGTGTCTGTGTGCGTGTGTCTGTGTGTGCGTGTGTCTCTGTGTGCATGTGTCTCTGTGTGCGTGTGTCTCTGTGTGTGCGTGTGTCTCTGTGTGTGTGCGTCTCTGTGTGCATGTGTCTCTGTGTGCGTGTGTCTCTGTGTGCGTGTGTCTCTGTGTGCGTGTGTCTGTGTGCGTGTGTCTGTGTGCGTGTGTCCGTGTCTTTGTCCATGTCCCACCCCACCGCCACAGCGGATCCCGTTCCGGAGGCCATCTGTTGGTGGACGCGTGGGGCCCATCACTCCAGGCCTCTCCAACGTGGTGCGGGAAGCACGCACACACCACACACACCACACACACACACACCACACACACCACACACACCACACACACCACACACACACACCACACACACCACACACACACACACACACACCACACACACCACACACACCACACACACCACACACACCACACACACCACACACACCACACACACACCACACACACCACACACACACACACACCACACACACACATACACATACACACACCACACACCACACACACACACACCACACACGCACACACACACACACACCACACACACACACATACGACACACACACCACACACACACACACACCACACGCACACACCACACATACACACACACCACACGCACACACACCACACACACCGCACACACACACGCACACACCACACACACCACACGCACAACACACACACCACACACACCACACGCACACACACCACACACACTACACGCACACCACACACACCACACGCACACACACCACACACACACACCACACACACGCACACACCACACACACCACACACACCACACACACCACACACACACACACACACCACACACACCACACACACACCACACACACCACACACCACACACACCACACTCACACCACACACACACCACACACACACACCACATACACATACACACACCACACACACACACCACACACACACACCACACACACACCACACACACACCACACACCACACACGCACACACACACCACACACGCACACACACACCACACACGCACACACACACCACACACCACACACCACACACACACACACACCACACACACACCACACACACCACACACACCACACACACACACACCACACACACACACACACACCACACACACACACCACACACACCACACACACACCACACACACACCACACGCACACACCACACATACACCACACGCACACACCACACACACCACACATACACCACACGCACACACCACACACACACCACACATACACCACACGCACACACCACACACACCACACACACCACACACACCACACACACACCACACATACACGCACACACCACACACACCACACACACCACACACACCACACACACACACACCACACACACACCACACATACACCACGCACACACCACACGCACATACCACACACACCACATACACACCACACACACCACACACCACACACACACCGCACACACACACACCGCACACACCACAGACCACACACACACCACGCACACACCATACGCACACACACACACCACACGCACACACACCACACACACCACACACACCACACACACCGCACACACCGCACACACACACCACACACACCGCACACACACACACACCGCACACACACCACACACACACCGCACACACACACGACACACACACACACCCCACACGCACACACCACACGCACACACACACACCGCACACACACACACACTGCACACACACACACACACCGCACACACACCACACACACACACCACACCCACGCACACCACACAGACACACACACAGACACACCACACCACACACACAGACACACCACACACACAGACACACCACACCACACACACCACACCACACACACAGACACACACACAGACACACCACACCACACATACCACACCCACACCACACATACCACATACACACACCACACACATACACACACCACACACCACACACATACACCACACACCACACACATACACCACACACCACACACACGCACACACACCAGACACACCACACACACACAGATGCACACACCACACACACAGACGCACACACCACACACACACCACACACACACACCACGCACACACACCACACACCACACACACCACACACACCACACACCACACACACCACACACCACACACCACACACACACCATACACCACACACAGAGCTTTGTGTGTGTGTGTTGTGTGTGTAGTATATAGACACTGCTGCTGCTACTCGCTACTAACAGCACTTGCCCCTACAGCCCTGCTAGGGGCTACCTGGGGGAGCTTTGTCTGTGTGTGTGGTGTGTGTAGTACATAGACACTGCTGCTGCTACTCGCTACTACTAACAGCACTTGCCCCTACAGCCCTGCTAGAGGCTACCTGGGGTAGCTTTGTCTGTGCGTGGTGTGTGTAGTACATAGACACTGCTGCTGCTACTCGCTAGCTAACACCACTTGCCCCTACAGCCCTGCTAGAGGCTACCTGGGGGAGCTTTGTCTGTGTGTGTGTGGTGTGTAGTACATAGATACTGCTGCTGCTACTCGCTACTAACAGCACTTGCCCCTACAACCCTGCTAGAGGCTACCTGGGGGACCTTTGTCTTTTGCAGCCTCCGTTCGTGTTCGAGGAGGATGACGGCATGGTGCCCAGCACTCCTACACTGGGCGTGCCACAACGGACAGACGACTTCGCACAAGCCATCAAGTACCACACACACACAGTACACACACAGTACACACACAGTACATACACACAGTACACACACAGTACACACACACAGTACACACACAGTACACACACACAGTACACACACACAGTCCACACACAGTACACACTCAGTACACACACAGTACACACACAGTACACACTCAGTACACACACACAGTACACACACACAGTACACACACACAGTACACACACAGTACACACACACACAGTACAGGCACAGTACACACACAGTATACACACACAGTACACACACACAGTACACACACACACAGTACACACACACAGTACACACACACAGTACACACACAGTACACAGTACACACACAGTACACACACACACACAGTACACACACACATACAGTACACACACAGTACACACACACACAGTACACACACACAGTACACACACACAGTACACACACACAGTACACACACAGTACACACACAGTACACACAGTACACACACAGTACACACACACACAGTACACACACACACAGTACACACACAGTACACACACACACAGTACACACACACACAGTACACACACACACAGTACACACACACACAGTACACACACACACAGTACACACACACAGTACACACAGTTCACACACACAGTACACACACACAGTACACACACAGTACACACACACACACAATACACACACAATACACACACAGTACACACACAGTACACACACACAGTATACACACAGTACACACACACACAGTACACACACACACAGTACACACACACACAGTACACACACAGTACACACACACACAGTACACACACACAGTACACACACACACAGTACACACACAGTACACACACACAGTACACACAGTACACACACACAGTACACACACACAGTACACACACACAGTACACACACACAGTACACACACAGTACACACACACAGTACACACACAGTACACACACAGCACACACACACAGTAAGCACACACACACAGTACACACACACACACAGTACACACACACACACACAGTACACACACACACACACACAGTACACACACACAGTACACACACAGTACACACACACAGTACACACACAGTACACACACACACAGTACACACACACACAGTACACACACACACAGTACACACACACACACAGTACACACACACACACAGTACACACACACACAGTACACACACACACAGTACACACACACACAGTACACACACAGTACCAACACACAGTACACACACAGTACACACACACAGTACACACACACAGTACACACACACAGTACACACAGTATACACACACACAGTACACACACAGTACACACAGTATACACACACACAGTACACACACAGTACACACACACAGTACACACACAGTACACACACAGTACACACACACAGTACACACACAGTACACACACACACAGTACACACACACACAGTACACACACACAGTACACATACACACAGTACACACACACACAGTACACACACACAGTACACACACACAGTACACACACACAGTACACACACACACAGTACACACACACAGTACACACACACACAGTACACACACACAGTACACACACACAGTACACACACAGTACACACAGTACACACACACAGTACACACACAGTACACACACACACAGTACACACACACACACAGTACACACACACACAGTACACACACACACACAGTACACACACACACAGTACACACACACAGTACACACACACACAGTACACACACACAGTACACACACACACAGTACACACACACAGTACACACACACAGTACACACACACACAGTACACACACAGCACACACACAGCACACACACACACACAGTACACACACACACACAGTACACACACACACACACAGTACACACGTACACACAGTACACACACACAGTACACACACACAGTACACACACACACACAGTACACACACAGTACACACACAGTACACATACACACAGTACACACACACACAGTACACACACAGTACACACACACACAGTACACACACACAGTACACACACACAGTACACACAGTACACACACACACACAGTACACACACACAGTATATACACACACAGTATACACACACACACAGTACACACACACAGTACACACACACACAGTACACACACACACAGTACACACACACACAGTACACACACACAGTACACACACACACAGTACACACACACAGTACACACACACAGTACACACACACAGTACACACACACACACAGTACACACACACAGATAGTGTACACACACACAGTACACACACACAGATAGTGTACACACACACAGTACACACACACAGATAGTGTACACACACACAGTACACACACACAGATAGTGTACACACACACACAGTACACACACAGTACACACACACACAGTACACACACACACAGTACACACACACATAGTACACACACACACAGTACACACACACAGTACACACACACAGTACACACACACACACAGTACACACACACAGTACACACACACACAGTACACACACAGTACTCACACACAGTACACACACACAGTACACACACAGTACTCACACACAGTACACACACAGTACACACACACAGTACACACACAGTACACACACACAGTACACACACACTACACACACACACAGTACACACACAGTACACACACACACAGTACACACACAGTACACACACACACACAGTACACACACAGTACACACACACACACAGTACACACACAGTACACACACACACAGTACACACACAGTACACACACACACACACGGTACACACACACAGTACACACACACAGTACACACACAGTACACACACACAGTACACACACACAGTACACACACACACAGTATATATACACACACACATAGTACACACACAGTACACACACACAGTACACACACACAGATAGTACACACACACACAGTATATATACACACACACAGTACACACACACAGTACACACACACAGTACACACACACACACAGTACACACACACAGTACACACACACAGTACACACACACACACAGATAGAATACACACACAGATAATATACACACACACACAGTACACACACACAGTACACACACACAGTACACACACACACGCAGTACACACACACAGTACACACACATGCAGTACACACAGTACACACACACACATAGTACACACACACACAGTACACACACAGTACACACACACACACACACAGTACACACGCACACAGTACACAC